CAGAACTCAGTACTGCTTTACGGGTCTTGGTCTCCCGTAGTGCACGCATTCATCGGGGCAAGTCCACCTCCTCGACGCGCTGCAGCCCGGGTCGAAATTTTAACCAAAAGGCCAAATAAATGCACGCTCCGCTAGCCTAACCTAACCTCCTCGCGCCCGGGGGGCTCTTTTAGTGGCCATTTTCCTTGTTTCTGGCCAAGAATTGACCCGGGCTCCAGCGCCTCGAGGAGGTGGACTTGACCCGACCTGAACGCGTGCAATCCGGGAGACCAAGACTCGTAAAGGAGGACCGAGTTCTGAACTCTCCGCTGACAAGTGAAGCCGACAGCCTAGTGGCGTGCGCGCCGAGGTGTGGTCCAGAGACCATCGGCTGAGGGATCGAATCCCCGCCGTGAAACATTTTGTCTTCCGCTCTGTTGATCATGTCTTCGGGAGTCAGCGACAGCGAAAATGCGCATGTTGTCGGTCAGAGCGGGAAAAAAGTTCTATACGGCTGGGATTCGATCCCTCGGCCGACGGCTTCCGGACCACACCTCAGCGCGCTCGCCACTCTGCTGTCGCCTGCTCCTGTGGACCCAAACGTCAGAACTCAGCCCTTCTTTACGGGTGTTGATCTGCCGTGTTGCACACGTTCAGATCAGGTCAAGTCAACCTCCTCGACGCGCTGCAGCCCGGGTCGAAATCTTGGCAAAAAGGCCAATAAATGCACGCTCCGCTAGCCTAACCTAACCTCCTCGCGCCCGCGGGGCTCTTTTAGTGGCCATTTTCCTTGTTTCTGGCCAGGAATCGACCCGGGCTCCAGCGCGTCGAGGAGGTGGACCTGACCCGACCTGAACGCGTGCAATCCGGAAGACCAAGACCATTAAAGCAGGACCGAGTTCTGAACTCTCCGCTTGCAAGTGGAGCCGATAGCCTAATGGCGAGCGCGCTGAGGCGTGGTGCACAAGACACTCACGGCCCAGGGATCGAGTCCTGGTCGGGGCGAAAATTTTGTTGTTATTTTTTTTATTTTTTTATTTTTTGAGAGATGGGAGGGGGCTGCTGAGTAGGCGGTCATGTCCACCTCCCCATTTCGGCTTGTCTTTTGTCCTAACCCTTGGTCCCCGCGCCGCAAACTACTAAATAGGAAAAAATGAGCCTCGGTCAATATTCGAACCGACAACCATCCGCGTCCCGGGCACGCGCTCTACCAACTGAGCTAATGATGACGCTTTTGCATGGGTGAAGCTTATCTCCGCTGTGGCTCACACCCCGAGACATATGGCTGGCAGAGGGGCAAAAGGGTTCCGTCGGCTAGATTCGAACCAGCGACTGTTTGCGTACCGGCCCATCACATCAGGTGT